ATGGATCATTTTGGTGTGGACTCATAAGTTCATTTCTGCATTTGTGGCTACACCGCTTCATCCAGCTCTTTGTTCACCATCACTTCTGTCGTTCTAGTCAGTCGTCCTGCAAGCTGGGCGCTTCGCTTCACTGATATTTATTTCTTCCATCCATCTAGTCACTGGTTTGCATGCATTTTTATAGCTATGCATATTAAACCTCAATTGTCCCTAAAATTAACAAAGCGCCTAGGATATGCACATTATTTCCTCGTCATCTGCGTCTGTTTAGAACACCTACTTGCATACATCTTTCCATCTACCCTTCTAGATTCTAGCTATCCATTCTTCCTCTTCATGGTTTACTGACTTGCTAGATGATCCTGGTTGCAGCCCCTCGTATGCTACCACCTTCTTCTTCTGCAAAAAACTTATCTTCCAATCTAACCACCATGTTCATCTAGCGGTAAATTATCCATCCACTCATTCTTCCGTCCATCTATTCACTCAACTATCCACCCATCCCGTATTTTCCTCACATTCGTCTGCCCATGTTTTAGTGAAAAATTGCCATAGTAAGCAAATTTAGCCTTTAAAATGGATCTTGTGCCGAAGTCATAGTTCTGAGATGGGGTAATGTTTGCGGACAATGATGAAGTTCACACTGGCTATATACTTGTTTTGCTAAATAGACACCCTAAAAGTAACTGATGGAGGGATGAACTCACGTTCGGCTTGTTTAGTGCGTTCTCACTGGCTCTTCGGATGTTCGGTATCACACCGAAAATGTTCAGTTTGGCCTACAATAATTAAATGGACAAAGACCTGAGGCAACAACTTTTCAGGAGGTGAAGGCGTGCAGTTGTAACTGACGATGAAGTTGAGGGGAAAACAAAATTTTAGATGTGTGTCAAGCCTCCACCACCGCTTCACTACTTAAATAAACTTTGTCAAATATTTCGCCCAAAATGTGGTTTTTAATGTCGAACTCCAACGAAAAATCACTCTCATTTTTACCTTAAAGCAATCGCTTTTAGCCGGATTATGGCGATGAGCCAACTTGTAGTCTACTAACTCAACTGGTATTTGGCTTATCAAATCGGCAAATCGTTCGCCTTTTAATAGGAAAACGACATTATATGAGCGGTTACGGGGTATCTGGAAGTGAGGCGATTTTACAAGCTGTTTCGCAGAGGAAAGACTGGTCAGAAACGGCCAATCTAATTATCAAGGAAGATGATTGAGTTACCTGAAGTGCAAAAGGGTGGGTGTAGAGCAAAATAAAAGCAATGTCAAGAGCTTCTTAGAGCAAGATTTTAAATTGATTCTCAACTACACCATTTTCCATCAATTTGGGAGTGTGAAATTACAGACTTGATCACAGTCTATTAACCTCTCAGTTAGGGGATTTCATCTTTTGATTACATTTGCGCCTAGTGGTCTAATCGAGTCTTTGTCCTGAGGCAATTCAAGCTTGGAAAGAAACGAAAACCCAAGTTATTGGGATCTCAACACTTCATAAATACACAAGTAATATCATGCAGCCAGTTGGTGCCTGTTTCAACCATATATAACTATACACGAATAAGATGGTAAAATTCGATGCCTGAAAGTCTGAAATGTGATATGGCAGATAGCCGATAGAGGCGCTGAGCTAATGAGGATGCGTATTAGGTAATGCATCCCTTACGTAGTAAAAGGGTGGACTAAGAGAACCTCATTATCTTGACACTATTGAGATTAGCCATCTCAGCAATACGTGGTAACCTCTACAAGCCATGCTACCTGATCCAGAGATCTGATATTCAAAAGCAGAGGAAAAACTGGCAAAACTGTCGCCTCCCTTTATTTGTTCGCTGAGCTCTTTTTGGCCTTTCAGTCCTTAGCTGTATTTTCGAAACCCATTGTCAAATTAAAATATTCTACCGAGTTTAACCTCCAGGTAAGCCTCCCAACAAATGGCGGTCAGCAAATAAGTTTTACACAGAAACTCCTCCAGCGAGGTGCTCAAACAGAAGACTTAACTTGGTCTGACAAATCCTTTTCACGTCATCTCCTCGGCTTCCCTTTTCGGTCACATTTGCATTGTGCGCTACCATGGCATGAATGCATCACCGAGAGTGAAAAAACGACCACCCGACCAAGGCTACGCCAATCAACCAAACATCTAAACTAAGAAACGTGAAAAAGGAGTCGAATAGTGGTCTTTGGAATACAGTGATTCAGCAATCTTCTTGCCAAACATGTCGGAAATTGACAGTGAGAAAAACACTTTTATGGGTGAGGAGGAACGTCGTGAAGTAAGGGTTTCCAAACCCAACTGACTGGTCTCTGAACAAGCAAAAGCCAACTACTCAAAAAAGCTGAGTTTAAATTCCATTTGTGCTGCCAGAAATCACCAGACCCGATCGAGAGCTCACCACCTTCAAAAGGCGAGTTTAAGCACCGCATTGAATACCTGTTATGACTTCTCACTTTACAAACCAGTGATAAACTGAATAGCTCAAAATATTCTGGTCATTTGTTTATTATTTTAAGTGAGGTTTGAGTATATTTAAGGCGAAAAGGCACATAAATAGACGCAAGGATGGGCATTTCGGCTATCTCAGAGTGAAACGAGGGTGTTGACACTACACCGAATAACCGCGAAGTGTGTGTGTTGTCCCCAACCCTCGCTCAGTAATTGAAAGTGTCACTCCTGCAACTTAGAACTGTAACCAACAAATTATTTGTGAAAGCGGATGGGAAGTACCAAGCTGAATGCTCATTTGGTGGGTATCACTTGATTCAACTGTCCCATTACCTGCAAACGACTCACGATCTCCTCCACCTACCAAGCATTTGATACCTCTAAGAGCGTTTTTGATATCAAGATTAATTCGACACAAAATTTTAGCTGAAATTAGGCAAATAAGGGACAGGAAATTATGTTGTCCAACAATCGTGCCGTCTCATTGGACGTCTGGACAGTTGCCTTTTCCTCAAAAGTATCCCTTGTTTGAAATCCTGTAAACACAACTGCGCTCTCGACGACTGAATGAGGCATTCTAACAACTAGTAGAAATCCGGTCAGATGCAAAGGACCGCAATTCTGAAAAGCGGCCTGTCATCATGCCATTTCACTTTGATGAGTCTGTTAAACTGCTGGATAATTAGAGAGCCCGTGTTCAACTTGTCCACTTGCCCGTGACAAGTAGTTTGAGAGAGGAATGGGAAGTTGACGTATTCTCAAAAGTACCAAATGGTTCTTTTTAATCCTATGAGCAGAGTAGTCTATATGCTCTCACCGCACTTTAACCACGGACTGACTTCAGCCACCATCATGCTCATATGGGTTCGAGTGAGGAGAGAACTTCTGTTCTGATTTGTTCTATCACGTCTTAGGAGGTGATATTGATAGCTACATTGGTGACAGTAGTAAACAACTGCGAGACATCAAATTTACTCGTGCATATGACTGCTGACACACTCCATTCCCATGTTCTTCAGAAAGAAAAGTTGCCAAGTAAAGTGACCTTACACTCGAAAGTCGGGATGATCTTCATGTGAAGGCAGCCTAATAGAAGGCAAAATGACGATTAGAGTATAATAGAATGCTATTGGATGCAGTGAGTAGGAATGGGCACCAAATACTCCCCATGTGGAGCTACTTCAAATTGTGTCCTAACTCAGAGCTCTGCATTTTGGTCGGCGCTCCTTCATGCACCCAGTGCCGCATGAAATGCAGTCATTGTAGAGCGTCATCCGAACCCTAAACAGTGCAGAGGTGATGAACCTGCACATCCTGGGTCACCATTTTGACGTCATGGCTCCCGACCTCTCAGCACTTCTATGTGCCTTCAGGATTGATCTGAAGTGCTCCAAAGGATTTTGATAACACACTACATAACCTGTTCCAAATCACTAAACCGCTATTAGGCATTTACACTTTCAAATTCTTCATTTTAACAATCAAATTTATGAGCCGCGAGATTAACTGAGCCATTGGAACTACTGAGTGAAGGTGTGACAAGTTGACAAGTGGTGCATCATTAGCGTTACTCCTCCTCCTCAGGTCACGGTAGACAGCACTGGCGATGTCGAAATGAAGAGCTAATTTGGACTATTCTCTTCCCTTAAGGACATTGACTAGAAGTGCTCCTTGGTTTTTTGGATAAGGTCGTATTGAGAAACAAGGTATTATTCGTCGAGTCACTACTTATTCAATTAGTGAGATGATGCATATGCGCCAGAATGGAACCACCTAGTGTCCTGCTCTCGTCTTACCCATAAGACCTTTTAACGATCCTGGCTGGGGACTCTATGGGCTCCAAGCTCATGCACGTAAGCAGCAGTTCAAAAGAAGCTTAAGGGAAGAAAAACAACTTCACGTCATCCTGAAGGCAGCAGCAATACATTGGTAAGCTCAGTATGACTACGGTTGCATAAAACAACTAATCATATTCAACCTGGAACCTAGAGATGGCACGAACATGTTAAGATTCATAACTGAATGTCAAAACTCTAGGAAACGCCGAGACCCACCACTTTACCAGCTAGAATTTATGACTGCCGGCAATTCCATATGGGTCTGCTTGCTAACCTCCGGCGACGACAATGTTGATTACCTGTTTTTCGGTACGGCTTGTTGCTATGACATCCCGTAAGTGGCTGAGACTTGTGAATTGTGACAGATTGTCAACTAGCATGAAGTGCAAGGCAGAAGGGTTTTCTAGTCTAGCGGTATGGTGTGCTTTGGGCCATTTCCCTCAAAAGTTAGACATCATATCATTAACTGAAGGATGTACGAAAGTGTCAGGTGAGATTCGGGCATGTTTAGGGTCAACTCGCTTTCAAGGCTGCTCAAAAGTTGTCCGAGAGGTAGTGAGTGAGGGTGCACCAAATTACATGAATGTCGAATCACCAAATGGGCAATATCCTCCGGACATGTGTTAAAAAGGCATTATGAGCAGCGAAGTCATATTTCTGCTACAATATGCCCGTCTCGTAGAAAATCCTAAATCGTAATAACTCCCCTGCTGATGGATTTGGTGAAGGTGGTACAATACCTCTCCGCTACTTTATGCCGAAAACAAAATCAAACAGCTGGCTGCCAAGCGAATGTAAATGGTTTTGAAAGAAATGAGACAGGTCTTGCCGATCAGAAAAACCTCACTCATTGGAGAACCGAACGGAAAATATCAACAAGTGTTCCTGTAGCAACTGCTTTCAGCAGTAAAATCTATTTGTCCTTTTATAACCGTATCACATTGGCGTTCAGCTGCAGTTGTTTCCCTTTCTCAGCTAAAAAGAATTTACTTCGAGTAACAAATTTACTGGCTGCTTTCATTTGTAATGGAGGGCCTTTCCGAAACACGCAAACCAAAGTAACGTGAAAGCAGAAAGGAAAGTTGTGGTCCAAATGTTGTGAAATCCCAAAGTGGTGCAGTATTAACTATAGGAGCAATGCCTCGAAGAGACTAGGCCTTCAATCAAGTCGGATTGCTGTTGAGCAAAATAATTTGCTTCCCAGACACAACCCAATCGAGCTAGTAATTCTCGGCAGAAGCACGGCTTCTAAATGTGAGCAGATTTGACTGAGGTTTCAGCTACCCTTTTAAGTTTCTCGTTCCAGTATATTGTCGGAAACTGACTTCCAGCTTTATGTGAACAGTAGACTTTACCACTAGGACTTTTCCTCCTCATCACATTCGTCCGCTATCATAAACTGGTATTAACAGTGAAGGAGGTTTCGGATGGGGCAACCTACGTATCTCTTAATAACTACATCATCTTGTAATACAGTGCTCACAACACACCCAACTAACATTACAAAACGAAAAGTGAAATTGCATACCGCATATTTTCCTGCACTATCTCCAGATGTCTGTACGGACAACTGTTGTGTTGACGTTGGCAGTGGTGATGAGGAAAGCATCTCGGTGACCGAGCGAAGGTCAATGGCAGAGCGTCGGCGATTTTTGTCGGGCAGACCAAAAGGTCCTTCACACACCGTAACAGTGAGGAGGTTCAAATTGGAGAGCAGGTGTTGTGTGGAGGAGGAGCTCTTAAATCCTCCCTCTGATGATGCGGTAGAGGAGGAATTGACACGGTGTGGTGTGAGGTAGGAGTTATCGTCTTTGTTGCTGTCGCCTTCGTCGAGGTTGAAATGGGATCGGGCTTCTGGTGTGGCACACTCGGAGGATCCGCTTAGTAACTGTACAAATCAAGATGACTTTATTTGCAGGCAATAGACGCGAAATAACCCGCTCGGACGTCCACCAAATAGCACTTTAATGCACCCGTTTAGCCTTCTCCTACCGCTTGACATATTTTCAGTCCAGAATACTGAGCATAGTTAAATAGATCATTTAAGTGGTTAGAAACGCAGAAAGTTGATTCGACTCAAACTTCATTCGGGAACATTCAGTTGCCGAATGTCTTGCAGTAATATATCATCCCAAAAAGAAATAAATCTGCCAACTTTTCACCAGCAATGGTAAGTGATTAATGATTTCTTACCTTCTGTTTACAAATGCCTTTTTATGGTGACCTCCTCGTTCAACTCCTGTCTACCATTCAGTGATAGGCTGTCTGTGCGAGTCATGGGGACAGGTGATTTGCAAATGCCTGGTTAATCTGACATGGGCAATTTTGTGTAGCCTTTGTAGACCACAAAATAATATCCTTAGTTGAGTCAAAAAATGAATTAAATCATGGAAATATTTTCAGTGGGATTTTGGCTGCACAGGATTAGGCGAGTTCATCTACTCACCGATGTGACCACAAGTACTGACACCCAGGTCAGTGATTTAGTGTAATAGAATGCAGGCGGTCTAATTACATCCACCAGGTAGCTAGAAAGCTGACACACATATATTTATATGTGCATTAGTCTGTTAGCTCCTCTCCTATGAAGCCCTCATATTATTTAGAAGTAGTTTAAACCTGGCGAACGTGATTCGGAGATGTCTGCTTCGCAAGCTGAGGCTAACTACGACAGAGTCCCTTAGACTGGTGTCATTTCTGCAAATACTTAGACTCTAAAACTTCGGTAAATTCTAAGGTCACTAAATGTGCCGAAACATGAAGCATTGTGAGTGTCAAGGAGACGATCGCCAAGGCTACGGTGCAATACCACCTAAGAGTTTAGTAAAAATTCTCCTCTAAATGCTTTAAGAACTTTAGAATGAAACTTCTGCACACATTATGGACTAGCAAGAGGCTAAATTTATTTTAACAATGGTTCAGCTTCGTTTCTCGACCGGACCGGAGCCAAACGTTAGTGGAGGAATTTTACCCGACTCGTGCTATCAGATAAACGACAAAAGTAACGAGCTCAAATTTATGCATGGAACAAAAATCATAGTTTTCTAAAGCAAAAATTGGTCATGTTTCGATTGCTTTTATTCATTTTGCAAACTGGGCTTGAAGAACGGCCCCATTAAACAAAATATATGTTTAAATTCTAGTTCGTACCACCATTATCGGCGGAAGAATTGAATGCCCTCAATCAGAAAGCGTTTTGCTCTCAGAGTAACCATTTGCTATGGTAAATGTGGATGATGTTTCCATCGGGTCTGCTTTTTAAATTTGAAAGCGGAAAGGCTTGCCGTTATTTTATCACAAATTTCTCTAATCATGCCGTTTATAGCGATTGACAATTATTTGCCTTTGTCTTTGTTCAGAGTAATGCCCCTGTAATGGGCAAAAGGCACTTCTATGCAACTACTTCAGACTTCTCCTTGCTGAGCGCTTCTGTCAACTTGTCAGTGACTTTTTTGAGCAATTTTTGTAGGTAGAAAGAGGGAGGCGAAGGTACTCACCGGAAGGATGATGTTCCCGCTGCCCCGTCTTTGAATGCATCTGGGGGCACTGGGATAAGTGAATTCTTCTAAAACCAAAACAAAACAAAATGAGCATTTTTAGGCGACTAGTGAAGCATTGTCAAATTGATTACGTTTGATGATTAGCAGTACCTCACTTGAAATAATTGACAAGTTATCTGTGTAAGGGGTTGCCCGTCAAACATGAGTGTCTTGCACTTCACTTCTGATGTTATCGCATCACTAAAAGTTGATTTCTCGAATGAGGAACAGGTTTCTGACACTAAAATACTAACAAGTAAGTTTTTTCTCAATGACTTTTTGGCTAGAAGCTATTATTTCGGAATGATGCAAATCCGCCATGTTTTATTCGCTTCAGCTGCGGTGAGCAATAAATCATTTGAGTAGAGAATAGTCATTAGCCATTCAAGGCTATAAAATAAACTGCGCATATAACTGGAAGCCTGGAAGATCTTCAAACTGCTAAAATCTTTTTTAATAAGGATGACCCCTTTTCTATGCAGCAGTTCTCTGATTTC